CCACAATTTCCATGAAGCCATCTGTTTTGTTTGCTTAGATGTTGTAGGAACGTAGAGAAGGGGCATGGAGTGGGGGCCGTAAGTCATCTGACCTTTTACCAAGGAGGGTGGTATAAGGGGAGTGTGACCACTGCTTGGGACTAGTGAGCTCATCATATCTTGTCAGACACGAAGTATCAAGGATAAGGACGGTTTCCAAAACAGCCTTTGCTTGTTCTGGTACCAAAAAATAGAAAGCTCAAGAAAATACTTGTAAAGGAAAGGAAATAGGCTTAGAGAAAACACCCCAGTTCCCAGACTTTTTTTGGCAGGGAAAAAATACAGAGAAGCCAGGGAACCTTTTCCACAGCCCCATTGTGCCTTTTTTTAGTCCTCTTTTTTTTTAAAGTTTTAGTCTTAACACAATATTCCAATTTTAGTGTTACCAAAATGTCCTAAACCTCACTAGTCAATGACCTAGTCAAAGATAAGGGACTTCCTTGGTGGTCCAGTGGTTAAGAATCCGCCTTCCAATGCAGGGGATGCGGGTTCAATCCCTGGTTGAGGAACTAAGATCCCACATTCCGCAGGGCAACTAAGCCCGTGCACTCTAGAGCCCACGGGCCACAATGAAGATCCCGCGTGCCGCAACTAAGACCCAAGGCAGGCAAATAAATAAATAAATAGATTTTTTAACTGACCAAAGATAAGACCACATTTACTTTTTTTGTTCACATTTATTTTTGATGCCCAATCTCTACCCACCTAATTGTCAGAAATTAGCCCCCAACCCCATAATGCCCCTCAGCTATACCGAAGGGTTTCAGGGTGACACCTCTGTGTGCTCAGGAATAAACCTCAGTTTTCCTGTCCCAGCCTCACTCTCATATCCCAGCCTCACCCTCATGCCACCTTGTTTACTGTTATCCTCATGAAACCGCCAACCTGCAGGGCAATGTTGCCCTCTGCCAGGTGACTGCTAATGCCACCCTCCCCCTCCCTTTAGTGGCCTCAGTTGGGGACTCCGCTGTCATCTTTAACCCTCCTTCTAATGCATAGAGGTATGCTCTTTCTCATTACCAAATGATAGAGCTGAAATTAAACTGTGGCTTTTAATGGAATTTATTAAAATTGGGGGGAGGGGGTATGTAAAGAAGTACAATGCAGAGAATGGTCTATAACCACATGGACCCAGACCTTCCCTACAGTCAATTACTACCAGGTCAGCTCCTGCCTGGCCACCATCCACATGACCAATGAAGCTTATTTCCTCCTCCCACCTCTTCAGCAAATATTTGTTGAATGTCTATAACGTTCCAGGTACTATAGCAGACACAGAAGATATAGTGGAGACCAAAACAGACATGGCCCAGCCCTGATGGAGTTTAAAGTCTAGAACTGAAACAAATGAACAAACTAAAGTGAACAGATAATCACACAATCAAATATTATTAGTTATAAAATGTCCTAAGTGCTATAAGGCAACAATTGTGGGGTGCTATGTGAAGTCTAATTGAGGGAGCTAATTTGAATTGGGGAAGTCAGATGAGGCTACTTTGAGCAATTGATATTTAGGTTGGGATTGAAGGCTGGGTAAGAATTAGCCCAGCGAAGATCTGGGCAGAGAGCCTCCCCAGCCCCCAGGCAGCAGTGACTGCAAGTGTGAAGGATCTGCTGGAGAAAGGAGCTTAGGAAGACCAGTGGGACTCAGGTGAAGGCAGTGGAAGAAGAGCGG